TTACAATAGTAATCTGGATCAAGTATTTTCATTTGCGATGAATTTTAGGACTATTATGCAATCGTTCGAAACAACCATCCATGTCTGCGAGTAACAGCGATGTTATTGCCGGCTTCACAATTGTTCCGTCCGCCGTCAACCTTCAATGTATGCACATTGTATATACGTACTTCGTTTGCGTTGATTTCGTAATTCCAATTCAAGGACTTATTTCTTTCTCATTAGCGGTCGCAGGGCTCGTAATTTTAATCGACCTTGAAAATTGGAAAGTTTTGCTCCCGTTAAAACTGTTACATGTTGTTGTATAACAAATATTGACGGTTTTTAAAATATGTTTTGTAAGAAATTGTTTTATTGCATATTCAAATTTAACCTCGTCGTTTCATTCGAGATGAGTTTTCTTATTGTGTTTGCGATAATGCATCGTCGGCGTTCAGTTTATGTTTGAGCTGTCTCCATTAGAAATACATTCAAATCCGTTGCAAAGTGAAGAGGGAAAAAGATTATATTATTATGATGCTATATGTAAACGGCACGATGTGAGGTCGAAGTGTGTAAATGTAATGCTACGGTAAAATACAGTGGACAGCGACGGTGTGAGCCGTGGAGTGTAGCGTCGAGACCGGTGGGGCGAGTGCGGCCTTCGCGGGCAGCCGACGCCCGGTGACGTCACCGGCTTATGTCATACCACAGACTATAATCGCACGATGCTATGCGGAGTCCCAAATCTATGGTCTGTGTTAACACAGTCTGTGATAGTTTTAATCGGCGCTTCTAAACGATTGAACATTTAAAGCACACCAACTACCAAACCAACCGCACATTGGGTTGGTAAGTCGTAATCGATGTTTCTACTCAACGTACAAGTCACACCAATTGCGGTATACACTCAGTATCTCAAAAGGAAGTGTCAAGACGAATGATATCGTCATTTCTTTTTAAAATTTCCGATTGATCTAAAAGTTGATTCTTATTCGCTATGTTATAGCAATTTATTCAACACAAGCACACAGTATAGAGTTCCATTTGGAATAATAAATTTATGGCACGTGCTACAGAACCTATACGGATTGTTTGCGTCAGTGCTCATTGAATTTGCGAATTACATTTACAATAGGCCAGAATCGCTTTGGGAGTAGGTACTGTCGGTAAAACAAGTAGTCATAATAGTTTTGTTGTAGGTAGTCTTAAGTTCTACATTTAAAAAGTAAACAACGCTGTGGTAACTTTTTTTAACATTTTTCAAGCCATCTTACGTAATACATAGTTAGTTTATTACTTCTTATCTCTAACCTAGAAGTATTTTGAAGGTTAATTAATCACAAGCTCAAACATATTCTGAAGACATTTTGAGATTAATTAGAGACAATATAACTTGTATTAACTGATGTTAACGCTTTCAGTCCCGAGACTATTAACGTTCATCGAACGGAAGCTTCATCAAAGCAAGCAAAGCAAGAGACAATATAAAGATGTTACAATGTTCACAAACTTTACAATGTTGTCAAACTCTTTATCAAACAAATTGACTCGGAGAAAATGTGAGTCAGAAGTTTCCAGCCATGTAATCGAATAAATAAGTGTTAAAGGTGGGTACAACCTTACTGTGATAGAGTCAGTCTTAGCAGTTGTAATGGATAAAAGTGGAAGTGTTATACTTCGTGCGTGTCGTCTGGTGAGTGAGGTAACCGGGTCCAACTTAATTAAAACGGTGGCAACGCATCTGCAACCTCCGGGCGTTGCAGATGTCCGTGAGCGGCGGTCATCACTTAACATAAGTTCTACCGCGAGATCGCGTGCAATCTTCTTACACGGAAAAACATAATTATAAATAATAGGATCTTAAATTAAAACGCTATTTCATTCGACCTCCATGGTTTCGGCGCGAATAGTACATAGTACATACACAGGTTGGCAACAAATTGCTGTTATCCTCAGCAAAGTTCAGTGGCGCCGCCCACGCGTTCGCCCATTGACTCGTCTCATCAGGCTGGCATTGCCACGGTGGAATTATGAGTGTCACTCTATTTGTAAGGCTGACAACATTCATTGGAAAATTGGACGCTTCGTTTCTTTCAAGGGACGGATGTGCCCTTAATTTTGGCAATTTCAATTTGACTTAACGAACAGGATACGTACATTGTATGAATAATATTTATTAGATAAAAAAGTGCCACCACTAAAAAGTAATGGCTTACTTCCGATTATTCAAACGAGGAAATCTATTGTTAATTATGTAATGAGTTAATGGGGTATAATAAAAGAGAAAGGACGCTTATTGCATTAATTGTTCGTTCTATTACCCCGCGTCGTGAATGCTTTAAAGCTTTTATGGTCAAGGCTTTGTTTTTGCGTAAATAAAAGAAATAACTATCGAGATGATTCCGATTCGAAAACGGGTGCGTGTAATCGCGATGACGTCACGTACGTACCATTAGCGCCGGCATAAACATAGTGACGGGGCTTCGACGGCCTCGTTTCGTGAATTCCCAGCGCCGAGTACAATGTACGAACGCGCCGACCCCTAAAAATAGCATCGCCTATACATTCGTGAAAATCATCCACCGAAATAAATTTCCTGGCAATTATAGACGCGTTCGACTGGCGTCCGGTCGTTGGAAATGGAACGCCTAGGGTTGGTAGCTTAGAGGATATTAAAAATGAAATCCGTGTTCCCAACGTACATTAGATTTAGAACTATTTTGGAAAAATCGTCAACATTCTCAATATTGTAGGATGACAAAAAATATAGCTAATAAATAGCAAGATGAACATCCCTATTTACAATGAATACGTCTGATGCCCCGTAAACAGGTTTAGTGACAACCCTGACATCCTCGCGGGTGGGTGGGAATCCTGTTAATATGGGACGGATGGCAAGTGTTCAGTTAATCTGTTTACCAATGTCACAAGGCTGCCTCGAAGGCACAATTTAAATGGTCGCTATTAATGCGATGACGCCATCGCTACCATTAAAGTCTGGTCTTGTGTGGTTTTTTTTATGTGAAAAGTTGCCAAGCGAGCAGAAAGTTCGCTTGATGTTAGGTGAATACCGCCGCCCATGGACATCAGCTACACCCGAGGTTTCCAGATTCGTTGATAGCCTTTTGAAAATTGGGCTTCGCATCGAGAAGCCGCAGACTGAGCTATCACGATTTGTTGATGCTGAACTATCAGTGATGAGCTATCATGATACATATATTACGTATTTAATATTTTATGACACGTCAAAGAAATTGAAGAAAAAAGGACAAGTTTACTTTTAAGCGATGTAGCAGAACATATCCACAAATAATGACAGAGAGAAGTGGGTCGTCATGTCTATTTATGTATGATGCTGATGTAATCATCGTGCATGCATTTCCGTCACTCGCATATCACACCTGTGTCGCCGCATTAGCCGGTTCTCGGTAAACGCTAAATGCGATCCGTTTTTGTTTACCGATACGCCCCTTTGAACTTGCGGTAACCGGACATGCATTGTTTCTGCGTAGCGTCACGTTGCTATCCAATTGTTTATGTACAACTTTTACAACACGTGGCCTTACTAACGCGGGCTACGGTGGTGGGGTGGTACAAGTGGGGGGGACCACGTCTGGGGACTTTATTAGCATCGTTATTGTTAGGGTGAAGGGGATATTCGATTACGGCCGAGTTCTATGGAATGAAACCCCAGTAGCGTCAGTTAAAAATTTTTTTTTGCTTTTATTAGTCAACTTTCCGTTCCGCTTATTATCACTTATTATCGCGTACTCGGCTTTGAAGGAAAACATCGTGAGGAAACCTGCATATTTTCGAAATAATAATAATAATAAATGTTTAGAAAATATCTGAAGTCGGCCAATACGCAATCGCGTGGTGGACTATGTCATGATACCTTCTTTACAGAGGAGGCCTTTACCATTTCATCAATATAAAGAGTATAAGAATTATAAAGAGTATAAGAATCCTTATGGCAACTCAAATAACATTTGAAAATCCATTTGACAGCTGATTAGTTGACTTCTATGATGATCAGTGTTTCAGAAACCGTGCGACTTAGATACGCCGGACCCACCGCCGGGGGTCACGCCGTATAACACTACACCCACAGCTAGTGTAACAACAAACACAATAGTTCGCCCTCGCCTCCGAGTACGGCGAGACCAACACAACGCGTACACAAGGTACACCCGCGTTCCAGGGCGGTTCTAACCGCCCCCAGCCACCGATTAGCTAATTGCACAGTCGACGGCCATCGGGGTCTCGGTCCGCACCGCAACTTCGATGGCCCTTAGATGACATGTCGTAATTAAACGCACGCATGATCACATGCGCGGCCCTACCCACAGCGGAGGGCCCAAACCCGTGGGTTCTGGCTAGCCCACCGGTTCTGCGTCAGATGAAGCTTTAATAGTCTCGGGACTGAAAGCAAAAACATCAGTTAATACAAGATACAAGAGAAACCGTGCGCTAGTGTTGTAAAACATTATTACGGCGAGGCGCGGAGTACGTTGACAAAGGTTGCCGGACGCCCCGATGGCAACAGACACGCTAATCGATCAATACCGACGCTGGCTTCTGCTTACTTAGGCTTCGCTAATGTCTACCTTGTTAATGTTGTTGAAAGTGTCAATCGTATTTGTTCTTCAATAAGCTTTTCGATTTAATGTACAAACATATGTATGCCTCTCGAATTCCCATTTGTAAATACGCATTCAATTCATATTAATTGTTTTTGACCATGTATTGTTGTAATGGCTAGCGGTCATGCAGTCGTATATGTTCGACCTGATTAAAAGCTTATTAAAAATTACAACGCGTTTAATCTATTCAGTTTAGAACGCACTACGCAACGACGAACACAGGACTGAGGTTGTGATTTGTGTACGTCGTAGTATCAACATAGTTAACCCGGGCTACAGTCATTTATCAAGGTGTTGTTGTATTCGTTCGATAATAATGGTGATCTCATTTGCGTATACTATTTTGTATTTGGATATGTGTAAGAGGTCTTATCAACTTGGCCACGATATTGTACCATATCTGGTCGGATCCACGTAGTACTGTTTCCCCTCAAACGGCCTATAGGTAATGACCTGATGACTGAGTGGGGCGGGAAACAGTTTAAGGACGTCCAGCTCGCGCGCGTTGCGGCGCGGGCGCGGTTCTAAATTTGGGTTAATGGATTCGTCCGCGCACCGGCATGGGAAGTACCTGTTAGGTCCGTCCGCCCGTGCCTACCCACCGTTCCAATGGTACCCGCTTCACGTCAAAGTTGCGTTACGATTTTTAGGCCTAACGCGTTCGACCACGCGAGGTTTTGTCTCCATTCTTTCCTCACTTTACAGTAGTCGGAAACTTATAGGTCAATGTGTAAACGGAAGATTTGTATTCTTTTTCAAAAATATTTTCCATATACAAATAACATATTTCAGATTTGCATGGCATGGTTTAAGTTTTGCAAAGAGAAGAAGCGAAGAAAGATAAAATTTAATTACATAATGTTTTACAAATACATAAAATTAGTTGTGTCCAATTTTCGCTCAGTTCAGTCATCGGCCATTGAATGTTTATATTTGTTGTTATTGTTTGAATGAGAATTTATGAATGAAAGGTATTTTATTTCAAACAATAATGTTTTTTCAGTTCGCTACCTTTCATTTAAACAAATTGTTAATGGACGGCGTCATCATACATTATTTATAAGATTTTATTATATGAAAACATTTACTTTATTCGTCGTCTTTGCGAGTGACGAAAATAAAATGAAAGTCATCAAGGAAAAGAAACAGATAATTTCAAACGGCGCTTTTCATATCGATGAATCAATAGGCCTCGTGAGTCATTCGACCGTTAGAAGATAACTGAGATAAATGTTTTTATTTTTAACGAAATGCTTATTTCTTTTGTCTGAACGGGATGGATAGAAAGTGAATCTTTGTAGATTTCACGAACTTCGCATAGTGGTTTCGAACTTTGCTAATTTATGATGTGAATATACATACAGCAATATAAATGTGTGTGTATTTACACACACACGGAGACCTATATTCTTCTTATTCAGACACATCTTTTATCTCTGTAATAACGACAACAGCTTTCTATAACTAATATTCGTGCAACGGATACAGCAAAGAGGCTCTTCGCAGTCGCAACATCAAACGGCGCGAGTGATTTTGTATCAGCGAAAACGCTACTTGGTCCAGAGTCCACTTCTGCTGAGCTGAGGAGGCTAAAAATATCTGCGGCCATGATGTCAACACTCGTCGGAAGCTGGAAGTATTCGATCGCTGGACGGATACCTCACTAACTCAGCAGTAGTATTAATTGAATACAGCCGTTGTGAATGATAGACAGTTTGTAATAGATACAGATGTAATTACTCAGCTTTTTTTTTTTAAACTTTAATGTTCTGCTCGCATCGAGATAAGACTTCATTAGGAATCATTGTGGTTCTTCGTTTCTTTGATAAGCTACGATTTAATAATATAAAGTCTTATGTAATAATAATAAATATTTTAGAACTCATTTATACACAACGTTCTCTAGTCTCAAACTAAGCAACGCTTGTACTATGGGTCATACTTTGCTTTTGTAAATAAATACATATATAAACACTTAACCACTGGAAACTATGTTCACACAATATTTTTCCAGTAGTGGTGATCGAACCCCCGCCCTCTGGCGCAAGAGTCAGGTTTACTACCAATCGGCTCCTGACGTCATATGTATTATAAATTTTCATAACCTTTCATATAAGAGTTGGGAAAAGTCTAATACGTAATTTCAGTGGTAAATGGTACCAATAGAACAATTGGACTCCTTCATTTTAGAGAACTGGAAAGTGTACCATTTTGCATGTGAAAATTTAATCGGCGCAGACGTCGACATAGCTTTATTTATAAGATTCACTCTCCTCACGCGTCTGGAGCGTTCGTGTGAGAATAATTTGCGTTCATAATCACGACGAGAGGAATGCATCGGATCGAGCGTTGCTTGGCTTTGCGTGTATATATTTATATGTGTACGGAATACCTATATGATGTATTATGGCTATGTTGGCGTTACTTAGGTTTCCCGCATATGAAGGGCGGTATACCGTACTAAGCATCTTCTGCTGATGTCATTGTGTCAGCTGAAGTTGATCCTTGATTATACGCAACGGAGAATTTAGAGCAGTCACTTTATTATAAAACATATTAATATACAGTGATTGACAAACATCCGATTTGATGGTAAATAGATTTATTTTTTTGATGGTAAACGCTATTATTCAAGGGTTTTATGATGAGAGCGATATATAACGTATACTGAAAGCGCTGTAGCGTAAATCGCCCGAATTTCTCTCTCGATAACGGCCAATGTTTATTTTCACATCGCGCGTCATGCTCTTGAATGAAACATTTCCCAGATCATGCGAATACACACACAGACACACACGCACATTTGTGCGAGCCATCTTCGCCAAATTTCAAAAGCGTCCTGCTTGATTACTCGAAAAAAAAAAAATGGCCCGCCGTTTTTAGAAATACGTTAATAACTACGATACAAACGCGCAACGGAGAACGAGCCAGGCAAGCATCCCGCGGTCCGATTACAAAAACAAACAAAAGCTCTGTTGAAAACGCAACGGCGCGTTGGTCGACGGTTGGCGGGCGCACCGTAACGTACCGTGAATAACTACGTCCGCGCAGTCATTACAGTTATTCGACCACGCACCAAAATAGACCCTATCGGCAACACAATAAAGCCAGCAGCACCTGGCGAGTGGGGCGGTGATTAAAATCGCATTGTTTCCTGCCGCTCTCAATGAGGAGCGCGCCGCGCGCATAATTATGAGTTGCTCACGCCGCGCGGTTAACTGTGGGCCCGTGGGCCGTACGGGACGCGTCGAGTGCTTTCTTTAGACTTTTGGGCCTTTAAAATTTTCGTGTGTTGGCAAAAATTTGACTTGAAAAGGTCGCGGAACATCACAGATCACAGAATACATTGAAACAAATGGAGGTAGCAGCTTTACGTTTCGTGTAATACATATCTGTCTTAATCATACATTATTTACGCTTATTTGTGACTTATGAACGCTAAATGGGCAATTTGTCCGTTATCAATAGTGTTTATAACGGAGTAAAAAGACTACGAATCCAATCGTTGATCAGAAAGCTCGCAACTCGTCGTTTTTTGTTACGAGAGCATGAAAAATTTCATTTTCGAAGTGAAAGTCGCCAGCGCACACCGACGGATAAATGGTTAGGCGAAGACTGGACATGCCCCGCGGCGTACCAGGCCGGCGTCTGCCCTATCAGGCACTCGCATAACGGTGCTCCTATGGCATTTTACATAACGCAGTTGTTTATATACTGATGTTACCGCGTAGTGACGTCGACCGGCGCGCCTGGTGTAATACTAAACTATCGGTACTGTGAAATCGAGAATTATTATAGTCTGCAATTTTTGAAATCACCGAGGCCAATGGATTTGTGCTTGCATATTTATAGAGGTTGATTCGTCGTAGTGATAAATGGATTTGTTTGACAGATGGGTACAGTTTTATAATCTTTGAGCATATAAAACTCAGCAAAAATTCTATCTCCAGTAGCCAAATCTATCTGTGGATAGAATATTGAAACCGGCCATTATAACAAGCATTCAATTTAATTTCTAAATCATTATAAATCTATTTCTTATTAGACACTAACTCTTGTTAACTAACTTATCAACTTCATATCTTATTTTAGGCAGGGGTCTTAAATAAGTATTTGTAAAGTTAAAAGTTATGTTTAACTTTTGAAGGAATGTAGAAGTAAGCAACATTCTTTTCTATTGTTGACAATTGAATGAATGTGCCCACATTAATTGTTCGAAACGTTTATAAATATTTCTGAAATAATTGTTCAAACCGGTTTCACTTCATAATATAACCGAAGAAAAACACGCTCATATCCGCTAAGCTTACTTACAAGCATGGGATTGAAAAATATTACGAACAAATTGTTCTATTTACACATAGTTTGGCAGGAAACAAAAGCTTCATCTTAAGCTACTGCATCTTTATCAGAGTTGACCATTTAAGTTATCGGCAAACTAAACAATGCGAATTTAGCCAATGTCTTATTTTGTAGAGATAATTTGTTAGTCTTAATATTTATTTTATACCACACACTATATACATGATTTTAAAGCTCACACTAAATGAGTCAGTGTTTTTATAGGTACTAATGTAATGCGTTAATGCGTTTTGTTAAATGTGGTCGAGTGTCCGGTTGTCGTTACATGCAAATATTGGAGTTTCGTTACCGCTATGATATGAAAAGAGACCAATCTCGTAAAGGGTCTTGATCTCTTTATGGTCTACCAGTCTCCATGCTTCGGTAAAGCCGTGGGCGACGTAGTCGTTCCCTGCACTTATAACTAGATGGCGACAGTGACAAATATATAACTAGAATAGCGACAGTGACAAACATGCTTTATTTATAGCTACAATTTTATTAATCTATCTTCTACATAAATATAATTAGAGGTCCCACGTTGTACCCGCAAGACCCGCATTTCTCTTCAGTTGTTTTCGCGTATGGAAAAGTTAATGGAGAGATTTCATTTATTTCATGTAACATCATTAAAGTTTTAGGAAACAATGGTTTCAGCATTAATTGTTTAATTTTTAATTAAGTGGTGTGTTTTTTCAGTGGAGTTTACTTTCTGTGGAGTAGTGAGATAAGCGGTATAGTTGTTACTATAATTGTACTGTATTAATACATTGGTGATGACAATAAATTATTACAATTATATTATTTATCGTTCAGTTAGCGTGGTTCGTGTCAATAAAATTGGTATATTTTGATCAAAAATTAACCTAGATTAGTCTGATCCACCACTGTCAATTCGAGGTATCACTCACGTTTTTGCAAAGATTTGCAATTTCATTTTGCACGTCTTCGCAAAACCGTGTCGAAAACTTGGCGAGTTTCTTTTTCGGTGAAACGGTTTCCTTCCTTTTCGAAAGTTTCGACGGTTGTCACTTTGACGGGGGGGACGCGTTAGCCACCTGCACCGGTGTCCGGATGTCCGGCGCCAAGCCTGAGCGGCTCGACCGCATCGCGTGCCTTGCTTAGACGACCGGTCACAACGCGTATACCTTAAAAGGTATAGCTTGGTGTTAAGTAGCTTATTATTTTTTAATGCGAAAACGACGAGCCTGGTCATACACTTTTTTTGTGACGTGTAGTTTGCTGTAAGCCCGGCGGCTTTGACAGAATAAGAGTCTGGCCATACACGCTACAGCTGAATCTGCCGCTTTGCCCTACCACAGTTAAAGCGAATAACGCCATTTAAAATAATCTTAAAAAAAGAGCTCGAACAACAAACAAAATAAAAACTTCTCATCTCACGAGTTTTTTAGTCGTTTCTCTCTCATTGAAAATATATATTTAAAATTTAAAAATGCTCGATACGATATGGGAATATGTAACAGTATAAAATGTTTGTATGCATACTCAATGGAACTATTTATACAGGGTGGTTTTCTAACGCCCGGTTTCTGAAACACTGATCAACGTAGATGTCAACTAATACAGACAACTTGACAGCTGATTAGTTGACATCTACGATGATCAGTGTTTCAGAAACCGAGCGTAAGTGTATCTATTGTTTTTTATTAAATTCAAGACGTAAATAATGTTATATAAAAATAATAAATATTTAATATCACTCGTAAGTAATTAATTACATTCATTAGAACTTATCTCAAATAGTGCGTGATTTATACGAAAATCTTTAATTTTACGCGCGATCATTCATGACTAAAACGCACACAAGTTCGTGCACAGTAAAATTTAGATATTTATGAATGACTACTGCATTTTCAACACGTTCTGCTTTTTATGACATTTTTTTTTGAAAAAAAAATGTCTTTTATTTCAATAAACGATTATACTACCGAGTTTGAACCTCCCGTGTTTGGCACCTTTTGGCACAATTTGGGCTTCTCAAAAAATCTCCTTGTACAAGAGTTTCAAGGTCAAGTTGATAGTTAATTATCAAAAAAATCGACGAATAGGAACGCCTTTGTGTAACACACAAATGTGTTATTGTTGTACGCAACATAAAAACGACATTTTTGTCGTTCAAATGATACGTTTACTATTTTGTGGAGTCGAATATTGTACTACAACGAACGTTATAGAAGCTTATAGTAATAATTATGGAGAGAAAATGGAAATGTTACATATCAGAAATTTACTAGTCATCAATAAAGA